GCATCTTACTCCTTTGTCCCCACAAAGGTTACATGGCACAAAGCATTGAACATGCACCTCAGGGAAAAAGAGGAACGAAGTCCAGACAGATCAAGGGAACCTGTCAGGGTGCTTCATGCAGAGTGCTCACCTGTCTGTCCTGGATTATAGACAGGTTTTTCCATCTGGATGAAGGTGCCAGTGCCAGCCTTGCGGATCAGGACTTGCTTTTCTTCCCTTGCACTGAAGTACTGTCCATTGGAGATGCGCAGCTGGACAGTGCCCACCTCCTCACTACCTGCAGGCTTGGGGACCTAGGAAAGGGAAGTGACCAGGTTAGGAGGGAACAGTCAAGGAGGACAAGAAGGCATCATAGTAGGTGCTCTTCTTCCATCTCCTGAACTTCGATGCCATCCTCCTCTCCACCCTACTCTGGAGGCAAGCACAGCATGTTCCGTTAGTTCACACAAAGAAAATAAGGCTCATGAGTTTGGCAGTGCAAAAAGCCTTGTGCTGAGCCTGTGTAGACATGCTTCTACGCTCTTCCTAGTCCTCAAGCATATTTTACAGTGCTTCAAGAGGTGTGGTGGGACACTATCTGAGACAAAATGTCTGGTTCTTACTGTATCACAGCTCACAGATATCACCCTGTGACAATGCTTCTTTCTCAGTGGGGAGAATGAGACACACAGCTGTCACTTGAGTGTTTCTATGCTCCTCTGTCTGATTTGGACCTTTGGTGAATATCCAGGCAGCCCTTCTCTTGATGAACTGATGAACCAAGGAGGATTGTGAGTTATCCAACAGGAAAAATATCATGCAGTGGCAAGAAGGAAAAACACTAAGCTTCCACTTACACTCCACCTAATTTTTCTTTAACTCCTTCCCATGCCCTCTCTCTTCCCATCGTCCTCTTTCTTCATTTCTCTGGCAAAAGTAGTCATGAGCCATAACAGAACTCTGGGAGGTGTCAGCTACAAGCCCCTGCTGAGAACAGTCCTTACTTGAAATCTGGAGCACTCAAAGATCCAATTGTTCTGGACAACCTTGCTGTAGAGGCTGAGGTTGCCAGATCCATGTACAAGTGTTAAGACCACATGAATACTCTTCTCCACACCACGGAGGTCCAAGCACACTCTCTGGGAAGAGGGGAAGGACAGTTCAGCTGGAAGGATGATCAGGTACATCCTGCAATGGGAAAATAAGATATCTAGCTAGTCTCACTCTGTCTCGATATTAATAATCCATGACCTGAGGAAGCAGCAGGGTTTACCTCTTTTCTAGGAGCAGCTGTTCTGCTGGAGGGAGAGGTAGAAATGATTAGAAGTGAGAATCCAAAACACTCATAGAAGTGATGGAACAGCTACAGTACATTTCAGGTAAATACATGAGGAATTTCTTAGATGACTTCGTGTTACAGAGGTGTGTATGGAATTTTGGAGTATGCTACAGTAACACAAGGAAACAAATACAGTTGAGTCTATCTCTACCTCTGCAAAGGGAACTCTTTTTAGGGGTTCTCAGTACACATGGAAAAGGGAACAGTGCTATGGGACTGAGAGATGGAACAAACTGCAAAGTTCAGATTGGGATCCAAAACCAAACCTGCTGTGTTTATTCAGCAGGCTGCAGCTGTCTAACTCTGATCTCAAAGCTCTGTATGACTCTGGGTCTGTTTTGACCTTACATCAGAAGTGCAAGATCCTCTACAGCTGTACTCCAGACCCTCAATAGGAAAGGATCCACCTTCCTTGCTTCAAGAAGGTTCCTCAGTTACTTTGGCAGCAGTCTGGTTCCTGCTTAATTGTCCCAAGCCCTGCAATTCTAGATCTTTGTGCTACTTTTTATGCTTTCCCTTCCTTTCCCTTCGGTTTTCTTCAGACAGAAGTTATTTCTCTTCTTGTTCCCACTAACACTCCTTACACTTTCAGTTCTTGCAGCAATATCCAAAAGAAAGGCTGTCACTTTCAGGAGCATTCTGTTCATAACAGGGCTTGTGGCACACTGCATACCACCCTGTATCTGTCTCTCGTAGGAGTTGCCTCATAGTGTCCCATGCTCTTTCCCTGCTATCCTGGTCCCTCCCTCAGTATCTGAACTATCAATCTCTAGATCTTGAAATGGCACTTACGGTTGTGCCACTATCCCCAAGGTGTAGCCCAGGCAGCTGAGGAGGAAGGGAATCCACATTTTCTTGGGAGACTTCCAGGGAGGTAGATCTGTGTGGAGGGCAGGTCAGGAGAGAAGATGGTGTGCAGCTTCTCTCCTTCCAAGGACTCCACCTGCTGCTGTTGCCGTTTCTCCAGGGAAGCAGACAGAAGCCCCAAAGTTTCATTCCTTGTGCCTCATTCCTATGTTTATAGTGTTCCAGGCGCAGGGTTGTACCATTCTGAATGTTCCCCAGCCAATCCAAGTCTTTCTGGCATCCAAACTCTCTGCTTTCCTACTCCCCCGTGGATGCACTAGCATCACTCAGAGCAGTTTGCTTTTAATTTTGCTAAGCAATAGTCTGTTTCCTGTTCACTGCTCTGACCCTGCTCCTTGTTCCTGCTGCAGCCTCTATTCCATTGTTTTGCCATGAGACAGATTGTTGCACGACTCCTTGGCAATGTGCCCTCAGTTGGAGCTCAAGGTGTACTCCTTTGGTCATGCTGTCCCCAAGCTTTTTAAGTTTGCATATCCTCAGGCAGGTCTCAGTGGTCTCAGGCCACTGTAAGTTCCCCCTGCAGCCTTCTCTTCTGAGGGTTGAAAAGCTGCAACTCTTTCAGCCTGTCCTTGTAGTGGAGGTGCTCCAGTCCTCTGATCAACTTTGTGGCACCCCTCTGGACCTGCTCCAACAGCTCCAATATTATGTATAGTTTGGGAACTTCTTCCACATGCCGATTTTAAACCTGCTGTTGTTTGTACTGAACTTCTACCTGAATATGAAACCACGATTCAAAATAAATTCTGCTTCTTGAAACACTTCCTAAATTAAGGAATTTCTTCATGTTTATATCAAAATGCATCACTGATTTGTTCTCAGTTGTCACACTAAGCTCTTAAATACTTAGGTCCTAGGAATATTGTTTTTATTTTGGAAAGACTGGTGCATTAAAAGGGGGGAAAAAAGATGTTTATTTTCTTCACAAAGTGGGCAGAAATAAAACTTAAGTTGTTTATTAATATATTTATTTTCTTTTGAGAACTTTTTTCAGCTAAGTGATTCTGGTGCCAATGGTAGAGAAAAAAAAAAAGGTGAAAGTGCACCTGGATAAACAAATCAACAGGAACCAGAGCAAGAAAGCGAATCACTCTTGACACTGGACTGCCTTTAATTTGTTTCCATGGTTCTTAAAAAGTACAGACAGTACCTGCTGAACAATCTCAGATGACATTTGTTAGTTCACAGTAGACCCACAATTGTTTCAGGGTACAGCCAGATCCCTTTCGACAGCATACGGCTTCACTATGTCAAAGCCAGGAGTCCTGGCTCCTACTCTTTTATGTGAGTGGAGTTCAAATATTTTTGAAGTTTTGGACTTATTACTGATTGGAAACTCATATACTGAACAAACAACCCAATCTAACTCACAGACAATGAAAGTAGCATGAAACAAATGCTGGAGCAGCAAAAACAAAGTCGCAGTCTTATTCTGCACATTCATCCAACTCAGCCCCGACTCCATCTCCCATTACCAATACCATCACTACTCCTGGCCACGAGGCACCCAGGAAGTGATTGCTTCTGAATTGTTTCCTTATATCTAGTCTGACCTCCCCTCGTGCAGCTCTGTGTCTCTCCTGGCTTGTAGTCCATTCCCAGGAGCACCTCGCTCTGCCTCCCCTCCTCAAGATGCTGCAGAGAGCAGTGAGGTCATCTCTCAGCTTTCTCCAGACTGGGCATCTCAGGTGTCCTCAGCCTCTCCTCACAGGATATGCCTTCCAGCCCTGCTACCATCTTGGTAATTCTCCTTTGGACAAGGCTTGGATTTGTGTCTCTGGAGGTAGAGTAGAGCTGATCACAGGGGAGGTGGAAGCATGCAGTAAGTCTCCAAGATGAATCATTTAAACCTCCCAATTTTGTGAAGGATAAACAAATGAGTGCAGTGCTTGATATCTGCAGCTCTAAGCGAGGAAGGTAAAGGCTAGGCCATAGAGAAAATAGTGTATTTTTGTCAATAGTTTTTTCCTTTTTTTCTTTGTATTTAATTTTTTCTTGCTGAAACACAGCCACCTCCCTCTAAATGCTCCATAGGAGCCAGACACTACAGGATTAAGTTTACAGTTTAAGTCTGAAAAAGAACATTCTGAAGGAAGTGGAAGAGTTCTTAATAAAGTGGGTGTAGAAATCACAAAGGATAGCAAGTAAAAAATGTCACTACCTGCAATTTTTACATTCTAGATGTGTTTGTTTGGTGCGAACTCCTCCTATTCAATCATGAACTACCTCCTACGCTTAATAAGGAGTAGGTACAATATACACATATGTATGACCACTACAGTAGTTGCTTTGCCAATAAGACTCTATTCCATATTACAAGGACTTTTATCATATCCATTGCCTGTGCTTTGCTAAATACCATAAAACACATAATTAGAACATTGTGGCATTGGCAGTGCTGAGTCTTTCCCTCTCCACAATAGCCAAAGCTGTAGCCAGTGGTGCTCTTTACATACTAATATAAAGAACAGACTTCACGAACTGCAGTTCTTGGTTTTTTTATCAGCAAGACCTTACTACTGAGCTACATCTGTGTGTAGTACACGATATTTAGTGGGATCGGTCTTGAAGGAGGGCTAGAGTCCTCAACCCATATTGGTGTCTGCATGATGTTGCTGGGGCCCAAACAAGTGCTGGAAGAAATAAATGCCAAGTACACATTTCACCTACACTGTCTCTGCATAAGTTTGCTTATGCACTCTCCTCCAAAGTAAAGTTTATATATGCTCTGTTATAAAATACAAATACACACCACAGTACCCAGATTTATGATTTATATTTTATTTTCCTTCTTTTTACAAGCAAGAAAATCCCTGGATTAAAGCAATCAGAATTAATCAGACACCCAAAAAAACACCCCCAAAAATGGCTGTCAAGATGAGCAGCATGGCATGGGCTGGGTTTCATCCTGAAATCCAATTTGAGATCATCCTCAGCACCAGTATCAAAGTCCACTGAGATGTGACTTTCCAGGTGACACCGGCCCCAGCATACCAGTAACTGTAATTTCCATCCTAGGGCATGTCCCACTAGTAGAACTCCTGTGGGCTGAAACAGTGGACAGTAAGAAAGCAGGCTATGTCCCTGGAGAAATGATAGTAAAAAGAGGAATCATATCAGAGAGAAAATAGCATAACCAAAGTTATTATTTCTGGGATGCTAGCAGCTATGGAGAGCAGATCCTCAGTAAGGACTCTCACGGACAGTGTTTCTCTGGCTTAATTAAGTGCCCTTGTCTTAATTCAGCTTTTCCCAGAAAAAAAGGTGGGACGTTCAGCAGTGTCAGGAGTTGGACTTGATGACTGTCACGGTCCCTTCCAACTTGGAATATTCTATGATTCTATTCCATACCCAAATAGTGTCAACTAAAACTAATACCTTGAATTCTGCTTGGACTTTCTTCTGTCACAGTGCAAACTGCAAGCACTGTCACTTAGCTGGCCCATGCACTACTACCAGCCCAGGTATCCTTTGGAGAATCCTTAAAATGCATGACTAGTCCTTCATAGCAAGAGCACATGTTAATCATTTCATGTCCCACCTACAGAGCAATATAGCAATGACAAAATCCAGAAAACAGAGGACAGGTGATAAAATCCCCAGAGGCTCAGGAAATTCCAGATGAAGTTCTAAATAAAGGGAACATGCTGAATCAGTGGTTTGCAAGGCTCTTCTCAGGCAGCAAGAGAAGAAACATAATGAGGCTACTAGATCTGTATAGTGGTTGAGGAAGGGAACAGTAAAAAATCTTTGTGGAGTACACACCTACCTCAGATGCAGAAAACATTATAATCAGTAAGGGCCTGCTCCTCTGCAACAGGACAGGAAAGACAGAATTTATCTTTGTACAAAGCCAAGCATAAATACCCAGAGAGCCCTGGCAGCCCATAATACCACACTCACCTGGATGGTAGTAGTCATAGACCCTGACATGTCCTGGCTTCAGGTTGGTCACTCCAATTTCCCTTTCCAGATGCAGAACATATGTCTCAGACATATGGCTCAGCTGAGGGAGAAAGGCAAATGACAGTTCACTTTTGAGCTGCTCTTTTGATTCCTCACCTAAATTTGACTCTGAAGATAGGCAAAAAACTCTGTGGAACCAAATGCAAGGCTTCAAGATGAATTCTACTCTGCTAGCCCAGGCCAGGATTCCCCACACAGCTCTTCCAGAGTCCTCCACTCCTGCAACTTCTCTAGTAGCACACACATACCTTGTCCAAGTAGATGGCAACACCTGCTTGGGTTTTCTCTGTTCTTCTCACAGGATACCAATGATGTGGCTAGAATAGGAGAGCAGGTGTGGCAATTTAGTTGGTTCTTTTGGAAAAGGAAGTGTGAGAAATCCCAGTAGGGTTTATCTAAGCCTGTGTAAGCAGATTCTTATTCACATACTTGTGAATTTATTTGGGGCTTTTACCCCTTCAGGTTGATCTCTCTGCTGGGCCCCTTACCTCCTGCAAAACCCAAGGACATAAGTCTAGGCTATGTGGCTGTCAAGGATACAATTGAGCCAGAAGGATCACCATCCTCAAGGATCAAGGTAAGAGACAATAGTAAGTATTCATGTTTCTGTGTGACAGAAGGGAAGAGACGGCGAAATTGCTCAAGATAGAGACAAGCAACACATTCCTATGCAATCTCCCCTCCCATTGGGTGTGTGGATGGTCCAACTGACACAACATCATCATCCTGATTTCAGGCTTCTTACAGATATCCCAGATCTTGCTGCGAGGACAAATCCAGAGAGTAGGGACACTTCCACAATCACCATATTGGAAATGGCTCTCTTTCCAGTGTACCTGAGGGAGAAGATCAAATGAAGGGTCTCACCCAGTTCCAGTTCTCCCTTGCCTCCATCATACTACCCTGCATGCAGGACCCTGAACCAGGCAGCACAGCTAGAACTGTGGCCAGGCAGTAGCTCATATGGGGTAGACAGTGGCTGCACTGCTGTGAGCACCCCTAATCTGAGGTGTTTACTTCCGTTCCTCTCCCTGGCAAGACTTTGGAACTTTTCCCCATTTCCCCTTCCTCAGAGACACCTTATCTTTCTTTCCCACACCTTCCATCTGCCATATGGCCCTTCTGCTGCAACTGTTGGGTTCCTCCATTGCAGCCAAGTACCACTCCGCTCTCCAGCCATACCTAGCCCCAAGTGTGGCTATGAGCCTGTGTCTTCAAAGTCACCTGACATTGACATAGAGAGTAACAGAGTATGCATCATTCTCGGTGCAATTGTCTGGCTTGGTTTTCACTTGTAAGGCAAAGGATTTGGAAACCTGCGGGGAGGGAATGTTGTATCTCAGCACCGTCTGCAGAGAGAGACAAAAAGACAGAGTAAGACATGGATAATAAGTTTCATATCATCTGTCATACCTTTTCACTAACTATAGTAATCCTCAAGGTATGGACCATGCTAACTGGATAAAATAGATGCAGTGAGCACACTCAGTCCAGTACCAGAAATAAAGGTCATTCAGGATTGAAAAATTCCATGGTCCTTCCAATTGAGACTACTTGTCCTCTCTCTTCCCCTTGAGACCAAGTGAGCATACAGCATTCAGCATACAACATTCAGCATACAACAGGGAACCACTATGCAAGATTTCCATCCTCCAATACTCCAGGAGTCACAAAAGCAACACTTCTTGACACATTATGTCTCAGTCTCACAGGTTTGCTGCATTGGCAACAAGCTGGAAGTAAATCATTGTTAAAGCTCATCTCCTTGTATAGAGCTGCAACTGAGACTATTAATTTTGATGATGAGCAGAGGGCTGACACAGAAAGGTTCATGGGAAGTGGGTAACCTACCCGGGTAAAGACGCAACAGCTGCCATGGGCTTGCACTGAGAACTTTCCCGGGACTTCTGTCAGTGCCATCTCCTGCACCAAAAGCCGATTCTGATAGGAAACTTGGAACTTCCTCCCAGAGCCTCTCTGGGACCTCACCCTCACTTCTGCAACTCCTTTTGTGTTGTGTGTCAGTGCTGCATACTTAGCCAAGGCCTGCAGGGCAACTACTGTATCCTGAAAAGGAAGAAATAGGTGTGCACTTTTGCTCCACAGCTCTGAGGACCAAAGACATTTGAATTCACCATCCTGAGAACCTTTGTATACAAGGGTTCTTCTCCTCGAAGTGTTCACTCTGGTTTTTTTTCACACTAGATTCTGCAGAGATCTTTCTCAGACACTGTTACTTTTTTTTTTCTCAGACACTGTTACTGTTACCACCCGAGTTACCTGTGTTGAGGCAAATCCTCCATAGGCATTTTGTTGTCTAGTGAGCCAGACCACAATGGCAGAGGCTGTGGTGAAGTCAGCCTCTGTGACATTTGGCTTGGAGAGCAGGGCCAGAAGGACATAAGCTGTTAACTCCACATCCACAGATAGTGGCTGTGACCAAAGGCTAGTGCTGTGTGTCTTGGATGGAGTCTGACTCCAATGGATCTGCCCACCTGGGAAAAGGAAGGAGGTAGATGACATTGAGGGATACTAGGGAAGAAATCTTGAGGCCTAAAAGGCACAGAGATTGTGTGCAAGGACCATACCCAATACTATGTATTACACATTGAAGACTCATTCATAAAAGTGATAGCAAAAAAGTAACTTGCCAATAATCAGCATTTGATTTTTCCATTTTCCTGTTTGCCAGGTACGCTAGCTGACTGATACTAGCTAGCTACCCACTAGCTGGTCCTGACAGTCAGGGAATAACAAGAAGTCAGGCAGTTTGCCAATCTGCTTTGCTTAGCACTTTGCACTTTGCAGTCCTGCTTAAGAAAGTCAACTTTTTTCAGAGCACAACCTCCACTCTGGGTGCCAGGAAAGGTCAAAAGCTTTGAAAGAAATTAGCACCCACAGCACAATATGGCCAAAACATACCTTAGGCTAGCAGACTGTCTAAAAAACTATCTTTGATGAAGGACAGAAATTAAGACCAAAAGAGTGGAAAGTAACCAGTCTTTTCATGTTGCATGTAACCAAGGGGCTCAGAAAGGTCACCTATCCTTTTTCTGATGTTTGTCTGGCACTAAGGCTCCCATACCTTCTCTGATTGCGCTTTGATCAAGTATGTCAAGAAGCTCTTGTGTGCGTTGAGAGTCCTTAGCCAGGGCGAAGGTGTAGGCCAGCAGGGCCTGTGTGTAAGTGCTGGCAGCTTTGGGAAGGGAAGGAATGATACATCCCAGAGCCTTGCGTACCACTGTACTCTACAGAGAAGAGTTACGTTGATATTGGTCACGTGCAAACACATGAGGCGTGCAAATGCTGAGTTACACAAGCAGAAGAATGCATTAGTATGCGCTAGCATAGAAAGCAACCCATATATTCACCCTTATATCCTTGTACTTGAGTTGGCACTTTCTCTTTGTATCACTTCAGCATCCCCAAGCAGCATCTCCAGCCCGCAGTGCAAGGCGCCTGACAGAGGTTTCCCCCACAGATGATCATGGATTTCTCTCAATGAAATGAATTCCCTTACTACTAGAATAGCACCACCACATCTTACTTTGAACAACAGTGCAACAGCACACAGTTGCAAATGCTTGCAAGATTACTGGGTTCAATTCAGCTCTTCAGTTTCTCTACATCAGTGGGACTTAAAGCTTCCCTTGAAATACTGTACTGTTGGCAGGACACAGAATTCATTCCAGCATTCAGTGCACCATTCCATTGAGTCAAACACTTGGAGTGGTTGCCTGTTTAGTATTTGTATATCTACAGCACTTACTGATTTCCCCTCTTCAGTTTTCTACCAGAATGAAGGTCCTTATATTTGTATTTCATTCTGCTACATTTGACAGTACATTTCAAATATTTGTGATCCAGTTTCATGAAAAGTCACCTCTATGCAAGTCAGCCAAAGACACTTCATGGAATTACCGAATGACAGATAATTCAAATTATGAGGAATATTGGAAGGTCTGCAATCTAACATCTATTCAAAGCAAGGTTAGCTGTGAGATAAGACAAGGTTGTTCAGAGGTTTATCCAGTCAGGTCTTCAAAACCTCCAATGATGGAGACGACTAAGTATTCTAATCGATCTCTACCAATCCTTGAGTGCCTTTAAATGAAAAAGGTGGCCTGAGAGACACTTGTCAGGAAGACAATTAATTTCCAGCTGTCTTTCACTTATTTCCAGAGAACTTTGCTTCTCCAAGTCTATAGCAGTGCTATAATCAATTTGATTATATATTTTAACTGCCAGTACCACTGCCTAGTAATTAGTTATGATCTCGCAAGACTTCCCCCTTATTATTATTAACTAGATGTACAATTCCAACTGCCCTACTTTACAGCATGTTCTCTCTAGCACTCCTTTCCCAGATTTCCAGTTTCTGGGAAGATGAAACACATTACAAATGTCATGTTTATTCACTTAGCTGTGGCAGTCACACCTACCTCTCTCTCCTCCATAATTCCTTATTCCTAGCTTTAAGCAGAAACAGAGCAGTGAGTAGCAAGAGATTGTGAAGTTATTGAGGGGAGCAGGACTGAGCAGCACAAGTCTGGGAAATAGGCATGGTATTTAGACATGAGCACCAGTAGCTCCAGGTAGAATCATAGAATCATTTGAGTTTGAAGGGACCCTAAAAGGTCATCTAGTCCAATTCTCCTGCAATGAACAGGGACATCCACAGCTAGATTAAGTAGCTCAGAGCCCGCCCCACCCTCATCTTGAATGTCTCCAAGGACAGAATATCCACTACATCTCTGGGCAAACTGTTCCACTGCCTCACCATTCCTACTGCAAAAAATTCTTCCTTATTTCCACTCTAACTCTTCCCTTCTTTAGTTTGAAACCATTTCCACTTGTTCTATCATCCCCTGCTAAATAGTCTGTCTCCTTATTTTGTGTAACTCCCCTTTAGATGCTGAAAGGCAGTCTTCTTCAAGTTGAACAGCCCCAGCTCTCAGCCTGTCCTTGTGCAGGAGATGTTTCATCCCTTGGATCATTTTTCTTCTGAATGTGCTCCAACAGGTCTATGTCTCTTCTGTACTCCACATCTGTACACAGTACTCTAGGTGAGCTCTCACCAGTGCAGAATAGAGAGGCAGGAGCCATTGACCACCACTCTCTGGGTATGATCTTGTAACCAGTTCCTCATCCATCAGACATCCACTCATCAAATCCATATCTTTCCAATATGGAGAGAAGGATATACTCTGGGAGACTGACAAAGGCTTACTGAAGTTCACACAGGTGGTAACAGTGGCTCTTCCCCTGTAGCAGTCTAACCTCATATTCTCCCCTGCCAACAGAATCCTCCTTGAGGGGTAGTTGAGTCTTCTTCCTGAGAAGTGGTAAGTTCATCATCTCCTGGTCAATTACTTTGTTCACAAACCTCTCTAAGGTAATCTATTTCCTGCTTCAATGACTCCACTAATCTCTCCAGAATTCAAGCAAAAGCATAGCAAAGAATTCTTGTATTTACCTCTGGTGTATCTCCTCTCTCCATGTATGCAGCAGAGATGTAGGCAGTCAAGAGAACTTCCCCATCCATACCTCCCTACAAAAAGCATAAATATCCAAAAGATGGGAAAAGTGATACACAAATACCTGAAATTATTCAGGAAACATCACACCTACCTCTGGTTTTCTCCCATGCAAGAAAGCAGAACACAACAGAAAAGTGAGATAAATCAATTACCATTAAGAACTGCTTTGAATTTTTTTTCAAAATTCTCTGGGTCCTACCTTCATGGCTCTGTGGAAAAGTTGGCCCACATCTCTGAAGCAGCCATTCGGAAGCTGGTGGAACTCCAGCCATTTGAAAGCAGCTTGGATGCTCCTGTTGTCCAGGAAAATGTATGGCTTGGCTTGGGAAAAGCATTTGACCACAAACGCAGTCAGCCTGATTAGGGAGAGAGCAGAAAAAAGGCATGAGAGAGGGAAAAGAGGAACAGAAAGAGATTGAGCGAATGAGCAAGAAGGAAGAATAAGGAAAAAAAAAAAAAAAGAAAGAAAGAAAATAAGCAGTAAATGAAGAAGACAAAAGTGGGAGATTGAAACTTTCAAGTCCCTCCTCACCTACTGTTGGGCTATTCTTAGTTTATCAGTTCAGTGTCATCCTTCATCTCAAAAGAAGTAAGATATTGATAGGTTGCACAAAAAAACATTTGGAAGACTTTGTGTCCAATAGGACAAAAAGGGATTCCATGCTGGAAGCAGAAAGCTCTCAGACAGCAGAAGGACAGAAAGGAGAGAACCCAAGGCTTACCAAGTATTACCGTACTCATCCCTGGTACCAAATTCACTGAAAGAACCATCAGGATGTTGATACTGCAGCTGTATCTGGTACCCTGAGAAGTAGGTTAGGATGACAGTGTTCAGACTGGTATTTTCAATGAGCTCATTGGTCAAGGAAAGGGAGTGGTGTTAACATTAAAAGTCATGGAGTACTCAAGGAATAAGGGATGTAAGGCACTAGGGACCTAAGTTGAGTACAGAGGAAGGCAGAAGAGCAAGGTGGATCTGTTGTACTTGCCATTGCGCAAGAATCCTGTTGCCCTCTCCTTAATCTCAGGAGTCAGCTGCCTTGTCTTCTCCAGGTACTGCAGCACATAGACAATAGGGGCAAACAGTACCATGTTCTGCTCTCCACAGCCATGGGGCATCTGCACCAGGTGGTCCAAGTTTTGCAGTGCTGTCCCCATGAGGTCACCTGGGGCAGAACATAGACACTCTGACCACTCATAGGTGGCAGGTGGGGCTCAATATTTATATTCTCCAACCTGTGACCAGTTCCCGGTACTGCACTAAATAAGATAGCCCCAGCACAACAGTGTGCAGGCAGCTATGATCAGTCAGCTTATCAGTTTCACTGCACCCTCTTTATGGCCTGTACACACTCCCATCTTGCCACAGGAAGCTCATAAATAGAACAAGCTTTCCCTTTCTTAGTGTTTTTGGTTATATGCGGAACCAGGAATCTCAGCTACATACATGGAAAGATCAAGGCAGTGGAGCCTCGAAAACCTCAGAAGGAGAATTGAGTATTCTGGGCTTGGGCTTTCTTAGGGCTATACTCAGAGAAATAGTTGTTGGAAAAGTATTATCATAACTAAATTCCTTACCAGTGATCGAGACAGTAGCTCTCACTGAACCTTCAACCACATTTAGAGGCAACATTAAGGACACAGACTCCTCTGCTGGACTCCCTGATACCAGAGGGTGTAAGATATGACAAAAATGACAAAAAAAAAAAAAAAAAAAAAAAAAAAAAAAAAAAAAAAGAGAGATGCTTACAAAAATAGCTTTAAAAATCTGCAGAAGTTGTTCAAGATGTTGCTAACATCCCATTTTCTTGTCACAAATGTTGCATATCACTTCACAAACCCTATCCCATTCCATCCTCAGCTCTGTCCATCTAACTCCATTGTGACTGTGCTATCCTAACAGCCTTACGAAAGGGGTAAGGGCATCTTCAAGGAATTCTCTGTGGTCAAAACCACCTACCTGCTTTCCTCTTTGTAAATTACGCCAACTTGATTCAAAGGAAAAGCTAAGGGGAAAAGCTAGGAGAAAAGCTAACGAGGCTTGGGAGGTTGGGAGGGATTTAAACTAGGTGTGAAGGAGGACTGGGGAGGATAGTGAGACTTTCCATGATAAAGTGTGGAAAGGCATAACTATAATAGAGAGACAGGGTGCTGGCAGGGGCCTTGAAGGACCTGCTGCACTGAGAGGTGCTAGCAGCAATGCAGTGCATACAGAACTCTATGATGGTAAGACTGTGACTGCTGGGGCAACAGGAAAAGGCAATGGGGAAATTCAAGGTACATAACTAAAAGTAACTAAGGAGTTATCCTTTAAGAAAGTGACAAGACCAGCTGTTCAGATGAAGTACCTGTACAACAACACACACAGCTTTGGAAACAAACAGGAGGAGCTGGAAGCTCCTGTGCCTCTTGAAAAACACGATATAGCTGTCATCACCAAAACCTGGTGAGATGATTCCCACAACTGGAGTGTGGCTATTGATGGCTACAAGCCAGTTCAGAAGGGACAGGCAAGGAAGGAAGGGTGGAGATGTTACTATCTACACAAGGTAAGGAATAGAATGTGAAGAGCAGTCACGAGCAAGTCTACAGCCTGGGCACCAGTTAGAGATTGAAGCAGCAAAGGGAGTCTTGTGATCAATGTTTACTATAGGTCATCCAATCAAACGGACCCTGTGGATAAGGTCTTCTACTTCCAGCTAAAGGAGGCATTGCAATCGCAAGCACTCATCCTCCTGGGGGACTTCAACCACTCAGACATCTGCTAGAAAAGTAGCACAGTGAGCTGTAGGGAATCCAGGAGGCTCCCGGAGTGCATTGAGGATAATTTCCTGAGTCAAGTAATTGACAGCTCCACAAGGGGTGATGCAATACTGGACCTTGTGCTCACAGGTAAATGAACTGATTGATGACAACAGGATTGGAGGCTGCCTGGGCTATGGTGACCATTTGATGGTTGAGTTCGCACTCTGAAGGGACATGAGACAGGTGAAGAATAAAATTAGGAAGCTAAACTTAAGGAAAGCTAAATTCCAGCTCTTCAGGGAGTTAGCCAATGAACTGGGAAACTGCCCTTATGGGCAAGGGTGCAGAGCAAAGCTGGCACATCTTAAAGGAGGCTTTCTTCAGGGCTCAAGAGCACTCCATCCCCAGGTATAGCAAGTCAGGAAAAGAAGGCAAGAGACTGGTGTGGCTAAACCAGGACCTGCTGATCAAACTGAAGAGCAAGAAAATGTACAGGTAGTGGAAACAGGGACAGGTATCATAGGAAGAATATAACAAAACTGCAAGACTGTGTAGGGATGGGGTCAGGAAAGCCAAGACGCTGCTTGAACTGAACTTGGCTAGGGATGCCAAGAACAAGAAAGGCTTCTACAACTACCTCAACCAGAAAAGGAAAGTCCAGAAGGGCATAGTCCACCCCTAGGGAGTGACACAGGTAGGCTAGTAACAACAGACAAGAAGAAGGCTGAGACACTTAACAATTTTTTTGCTTTGGTCTTCCCTGATAACTGCTCACTGCACAGCCCTCAAACATTTGGTATGGTAGGAGGGGGTTGGGGAGTCAACATCCCTCCCAATGTAAGTGAAGATTGGGTTTGTGACTAAGTGAGGAACCTGAACATCCACAAGGCTATGGGTCCCAATAAGTTGCATCCCAGGGTCCTAAGGGAATTGGCTCATGTGCTTGCCAAGCTACTCTATGATATTTGAAAAGTCATAGCAATCAGCTCATGTCCCTGGTGACACAAAAGAAAGGTAATATCATACCAATTTTTAGAAATGGGTAAAAAAGATGATCCTGGGAAGTATCAACTTGTCAGTCTCACCTCTGTGCCAGGGAAGAGAATGGAGCAGATCCTCCTGGAAGCTATGCTAAGGCTCACGGATGGCAGGAAGGTGATATGGGAGAACAAGCATGGTTTCACCAAAGGCAAATCCTGCTTAGCCAACCTAGTAGCCTTCTATGGTGGTGTCATTGCATCAATGGACAAGGGAAGAGCCATTGATGTAATCTACCTTGACTTCAGTAAGGCTTTTGATATGGTACCCTACAGTATCCTGCTCCTCAAATTGCAAAGATATGGATTTAATGGGTGGACTGTTCAATGGACGAAGAACTGGCTGCAGGATTGAGTCCAGAGAGTGGTGGTCAATGGCTCGATGTCTGGATGGAGACTGGTGCTGAGTGGTGTCTCCCAGAGGTCAGTTCTGGGTCTGATACTCTTTAATATCTTCATCAGTGACATTGACAGTGGGCTTGAGTGCACCCTCAACAAGTTTACTGATGACACCAAGCTGTAGGGTGTGGCCAACACACCGGAAGGATGGGATGCCATCCAGAGACACCTAGATAGGCTTGAGCAGCAGGCCCAGGTGAACCTCGTGAAGTTCAACAAAGCTAAATGCAAGTCCTTGCACTTTGGTCGAGGCAATACTCATTGCCAATACAAACTGGGAGATGAAAGGATTGAGCATAGCCCTGCCAAAAAAAACAAGGGATACTGGTGGATGTCAAGCTGGACGTGTGCCAACAGTGTACCCTTGCAGCCCAGAAAGTTAACTTTATTTTGGGCTGCATCAAAAGAAGCATGGCCAGCAAGTTTAGGGAGGTGATCCTGCCCCTCTACTCTGCGCTGGTGAGGCCTCATCTGGAGTGCTGTGTCCAGATGTGGTGTCCTCAGTACAGGAGAGACACAGACCTGTAGGGGCAGGTCCAGAGAAGGGCCACAAAAATGATCCACAGACAGAACACCTCTCATATGAGGACAAGCTGAGAGAGCTGGGGCTCTTCAGCCTGGAGAAGAGACAGTTGCGAGGTGAGAGGCCTTTCAGAATCTAAAGGGGAGCTACAGGAAAGAAGGGGTCAGACTCTTTAGCAGGGTCTGTGGTGATAGAACAAGGGGAAATGTCTTCAAGCTCTGAGAGGGTAGATTTAGGTTAGATATAAGGGAAAAATGTTTTGCAGTGAGGGTAGTAAGGCACTGAACACACGTGTGAGGTAACACACATTACCTAGTGATGTGCTTGATGCCCTGTCCCTGGAGACCTTCAAGGCAACGCTGGATCATGCCCTGGGTATCCTGATCTAGCAGTGGTATCCCTGTTCATTGCAGGGGCATTGGACTAGATGACCTTCAGAGGTCCCTTCCAACTCTAAGGATTTTATGATTCTAAATATCAGTTGCTGGTATGTTTTAGTGCACCTAGTGGTCACAAAAAAAGCTGCAAATAAACCCACAATACACCATAAAATTTGAAAACAGGAGCAGCAGTCCAAAGTCACACCTTCCAGCCTCACCCTGTTCTGTAATACGGTTAGTACTGCAGGCAAAAAAAGTCCTGTCATATTAGGCTGTCATATTAGTGTCAGGAATGTAGATGCTAAAAGCTTTGACATCCCTTCTCACTCTTATCCAGGAAGCTCCTGATGGCAACATAATTAGAGTGGGCTTCTGTACCTTGATCATGTTTGACAAAGAAAAACTCTTCTGCAACTGCAAAGACCCAGGAGATTGCCAGGAATGGTGAGATGAGCAGAGTAAAAGAAGAAAACAATCTCTTTACCTTTTTTGGGACACAGGATGGAGCTGTGAGCCTTTTCTACTAGCACTCCTTCTGGCTGTTGAGCATTTAGTAATAGCAGTAATGAGCACATAGGAGAGAAAAAGTGGATTAGAAACAGACACAGACAAAATTTTGGTCCAAGCCTAAGATTCTGCTTTTTATCATCATTAATAAAAAATAAAAAAATTACAATCAATCATTTTAATTTCAGATAAGAAATTTTCAGAATATTTTAGCTTGTGAATGCTTGTGAAACAAATGTTGCAAGATTCAGCAGAGAGTTAAGTAGGAAGAACATAAAGGGGTATAAATACTTAAGATTTTGTATTTAGAGGCCTGACCACAAACAGAAGAACAGAAGTTGGCATGAAATAGAGGAGACCCACATAATTCCTAAATTTCAAGGCCCCAGCTCAGGCCATTAGATTCTAATTTTACACCTTGAATAGCAAGGGACAACCCCTACAATTACTCTGCACCAAACCAGGAGTTGCACAAAGTCCATTTTAAGGTCTAAGTAACAGAAGAGGTTGTCTGACCCGGACTAAAAGGAGTTTGGTGATTGTATCTTTCTGTCCTTGGTTTGGGACAAACGGTATCTCTTTGCCACAGAGCTCTTTGGTGGCAATGGCCTCTGTGCTGAGAGTGATGTTCATGAGCCCTGAAAATAAGACACATTTAGTGCAGTAAACATTGCTTCCCATTAATATAACAGAAGTCACTTGTTTGCAGCAAAAATTTCGATTAGATCCCTACTTACAGGAGGTTCTGTACCTCCTAGCACTAAACTGAATATCCATGACTTTAGGAGAAATGCACATGAGTAGCCTAGGATAACAGGGCACATAACCCAACCTCCTCACTCAGCCCTTACAAAGCATCCTCGCCTTGGCCCCATTCCATCCCAACTCCTCAGCCCCACCTCCTTCTTCTCCTCACCCAGTCGCTCAGCTGTGACACTCCAAAGAAACGTCTTTACTTCTCCAGCACATAAGCAGCTGCTGTAGACACAACCCTCACATGACTTCAGCTGGAAATGTGGGAACTCCTCCATAGTCATTTGGATCTAACAGGGCAGCAGGGATGACAGAAGGTAACAAGACAAATGTCACACATTTTCTAAAATAAGGCATGGGCTTCAGCCATCTCTTATCTAAACATACCCTCTTTTTCTTGCAAAGACTGTCAGGGCTCACCAACCTTCATACATTGCTGTAGGTAGTTGAAGACTGTGGCCTTCAAGATGAAGGTTTCACCCTGGATCACAGAAGATGGAAGTGTGAGCTCCACGAAAAAGGGCTTGAAAACAAGCAGACTGGAGGCAGAAGCTAGTCCGAAGCCATTACGTCCTGTGCAGAACATCCCAGCTTCCCATCTTGTGATGGTATTAGGCACAGTGACAGTGACAGCTTGGTTTCCACTAGGACTGAAGAGAAGTAGATAGCAACAGAAGCATTTAATAGAATCTTGTTGTATGGAGCAACAAATGACCTAGTCTATGCCCTTGACCACAGTACGCTCCATTCCCTGACCTCAGTCTAACAGCTAACTTCTGCTGAATTTGTAGCCCTTGGAATACAGGCATAGAGGCATGGGACACATCATTCAGATGAAACAGGCATGCCAACACGAGGAGGGCTGTTGTGACAGTAATGCCTCCTATTTTATGATGGCTGCCTACAATGTCAGAGGCAGATGTTGGTGGTGTAGCAGTAGAGGCTGAACTTTCGCACCAATATTCCATTATATCTTGCTGCCATATATGGCAAGCAGAGGGGCAATCTGGCAAAATGGTATCTGATATGGACATGCATATGTAGCAAAGGCGTATCACAGAGCTCCTCTATGCAGAAAAAAAATGCACCCACTGACATTCAGTGATACTTGCTGAGCATTTATGGAGACCAAAGAGTGGATCCGAGCACAGTGAGGAGGTAGGTTGTTTGTTCCATCAGTGGCAATAGTAGCAATGGGTCAGTATTACTGGTGCAGATTTTTACGGGTGGCATGCAGGCTCTTTTTCATTGCTAGCAAAAACACAGAGCTAATGGTGGTGATTATGTTGGAAAATAGCATTTTGTAACAGAGAATTTGATCTATCAAATGCTGTCATGATGCTCTTTGTGTCTGTTGCAATTTTCATGGAAATAAACAGGAGGCAGAAAGTATTACTTTCAGAGCAAAATATGTACATCATGAGCAGCTGAGGGAAGAGGTATTAAAAATATCTATTTCAGGTATTTGATTTTGGCAGCTTTGTCCCCCATGCAGTCCCTTGTGAAAGGTAAGCTCCCCTTGGCATTTCACTCTTTCATCATCACTGATCTAACTTCACAATGCCTTCACCAATAGTCTCTGAATTAATACCCAGTGCATTACTGCCTTGCTACTACCTTCCATCCATTAGCAGACTCTCCCTGCAGTCCAATATGAAGTCCCCAGACTAGCCTGGAATATCTTGCTATAGGCATTCACTGTTTCTGATGGAAATAATGCCTTTCTTTAGATTTTTCTCTATTTCATGAGGACCTTACCTAGAAAAGGCAGGGACTGCTGCCTCAGATGCTTATATCAACAGCAGTAGGTTTGACAGTAAGTTATATGGCTGAAAGATACCATTATCATACTCAGCACTTTTCTAAGTTAACACTTGCCTCTGCACATATGAAAATACTTTACAGCTGTCAGCAGTTTTGTTTCTCTTGGCCTAGGGATGGAGAACCAGGAACCAGAAGAGCAATAGGAGTGGTCCGAGACAAGCAGAACTTATCAAAAGAAACAGATTTTGCCATTCACCTTTCCATGAAAAACTGACATCTTGAAGTCTAATAGAAAGACATGGCGGACACTTGGTCTATGCTCACATCACAACTTCTAAGAGCATCAGAGTATTCCGCGGCTGCTCCCACCCATTAAAAAAGCATTCCTCATTAAAGCTTATGATATTATTTGACTCCAAGAATTGGAAACATTTGTTTTCCTCTAAAGAATCCACTTTTGCCAGGCATAGACAAATATGAGAGAACTTTGGTTGCTCAGATCAGTCTAGTGGGCAAATCACATATGAAATATCTGCTGATAGCGAGTGAAAAGATGAATATAGCTGGAAGGAGATGGAAGGTGAGAGAAAGCAGAGGCGGGGGGAGGGATCTGGCCTAAGCAGATGCCAGTCTCCAGACATCAAACAATAAATTGTGAAGTCCAGAGAAGAAAAGTCTCCAAAAGTTTATCCTGTCTTTCTCCTGAAGCTCAGCAGAAAATGGCTTCCCACACCACCATTCCGCTCCCTCTTCCTGTCTGGAAAACACTGATTTGTTTCCTGGTCAGTGGGGAGTCCTGAAAGCATCATGGAGAAAGGACAATATAGATTCTGAGTATAAACTTCTTCACCAGAGCACCTGGAATTCATATAGCGTTTGCCTGTTCAGTCCCTCATCTTCCACTCAATCCAGACCCAAACACTTTCTCTGCCTCATTTGTGTTAGCAAGGCTACCTGCATACTCACTGAACCCTCAGCCTTTCTCACAGGACACAATCCCAAGTCCTGTGCAGAGCTTCTGTGGAGATCAGCTTCTCCTTTATCCCAGGATACATTCCATGAGCCTACTTTGTGAACTGCTGATTCACAGAGCCAGAACAGGCAGACTGCAGGAAGTAAAACAAGCTGCTTTATCACACTGTGCTTACTTTCTTCTATTTTCATGACAGCCACATCCTTTGGATGGATACTTTCTCTGCATGGTCACCTAATACAGGAAAATATATTTGATGCAAACATCAGCTCCAACAAGGAAAAATCTGGTAGGTATGAAACCCATAATATATGTATTTTGGTGTCTTCTTTGGTAGCTTATGATTTAAATCTGGTTGTATCTTGCTGTCATTCCAGGTCACCCAAACTAGACTCCCACTACTCAGTCTACTCACCCAACAGAATACAAATCCCATAGCCAGGTTTTTGTGAAATACTTGTGCACTTTCTCTTCAGCTGAAGAAACAGGTGAAAACACAGTGGGCTGATAGGTAGATGTCATCAGATGTCCTGCTGGAAGTAACAAACACCCAGTTACCACAATGTCCTCAGGCCCTGATTTAGAGTAGAGGGCCTCCATACTACCTCAGGCTGCGAGTCATCCAGTCAGGTCATGGGAAGCACTGCACTGGAACTAAAGATGCTGAAGCCCAAATTTTACAACCTCTTGTCTTACTTGATACAATGGAGCCTCTTTATGCCTTAATTGTGTTCATAGGCACCACAGCAAGGGCAAATATTCCCTCACCTCAGAAGTTAGACCTGAGATCCATTCAGCTTATTAATATTTCAGAACCAGAAGCCGTAAGGCCAGACAGACAGCTAAGCATAACAGGTTTAAAGTCAGAGAAGTGTCTCTCCTCCAATTCCTGCAATCTTCCTGCAATTACAGGAAGTACTGCCTCTTAGCTCAAACTCAGGACTGCTTTCACCTTTTTTACATCCCATGTGAGAAGAAATAGTTGTAAGGTGCTTACTGTTAGATTCCTTATGGGGCTGAGCAAACATCAACATGGGACTGGAAGTGAACATCCCTCTTTTCTTCATCGTAGTTGTTGACTGATTAGTTAGACACAGTCTTGGTTTCCTGATATTGATGTTGGACATAATTTTCAATCCCATTTCCTGTAGGAAAAAAAGAAAAAAGAAAAAACTGAAGCACTAGATTCTTCTCCTATCTTCTCTGCCTTTTATCCTGTGCCTTATTCTCCCCTTATGCATAGGAACTCAGCTATCCTCTGGCTTAGATTTAGGACAGAGTCACTCAGATCATCAGTAAAGAGCAAACAAAGTCATCCAAGTTAATTCATCAGGCCAAAGTAGAAAAGTTTCTTCTTTTTCAAATGCAAGTTTATTTATGCACTGTGCCTTCTCAGCTTGCAAAGTGAAATTCCAACAGATTAATCTTGGGCAACCCAAGTTGCTCATGATATGGAGATTACACATACTATGTGAAATCCAATTAAAGTAACCAATAATACTTGGCATCCTAAATCATGCAATAAAAATGCAGTAATCACACAACAATTTCCCATTGGTCAACAATTTCAAGTAGTTTATTCAAAGAACAAATGGATTATAAGTGCATAAATGGAGCTTATTTCCTCTACTATCTGTGATGACATTTCTACATTACTGATAAAGTCAGAGGGCCATACTTTCCTCAATTCATGAATTACAAGTTAACTATTTTTACCCTAAATGCTGTAAACACATCAGGCTGATCAGAATTTTGGAACTTGCATGAATTGTCATCTTCAGACACTTGATGAGGATATCCGGAGTTATAAATAGATGGAAAGAGCCCATAAATCTGGGAAAGCAAGAAAAGCAAAAGAAAAAAGTCAGCACAAATGATACTTGGCATTCACTTTGTGTAGTATATCCAAGGCTAGTTTGCTCCTGGCTATCATGCATAGATGTATGTCAGAAAGAACAGGCTCAAAGTTATCTCTTCTCCAACAGAGCCAGCACAGTCTGCTAAAATGAATATGAGACAGAGCAAACAAAGCTGGGTCTGGATTTACTACTGGTGCACTGACAGGCATTCAATCTCTTTAACTGGTGCCTCCTAATCCTTACCTGTGCCACACTAAGAAAACCTTGATCCTTCTAGTTGGTGCTTTGAGTTCTCTGAGAGACAATCTCTGAAAACCTCTCTTTCTCCCATCTCTCTTCTTGTCAGTGCAAAGGAAGGAGAAAAAGTTACAGCAGACTCACCATGGAGTGGCTGAGTTCTTTTTCTAGCTTCAGCAAAAAGGCAGTCTGATCCACAGCCCAGACAGCACATGTAGATCCAGGTGGTGCCTGCAGGCGGAGATCAACCTCTGAACCAGGAAGAGTCTTGGGTACTGAGAAGCTCAGCTCTGCCTGGATGTGAAGAACATGCAAACATAGGTAAAACACATGCAACATTTCTGCTGCTGGCCTCTCTACCACTTCTTGAGCAGAGAAGGTCCCTACATGAAAAGAATTCCCAAGGACACGATTTGAATGAAAAATCAATGAATTTCCTAAGGACTCCTAAAAGGTATTTAAGAAAACATCATGTTGAGATTCTGAGAGGAAAGATGACAGGTCACATGAAAGACAGGGAGAACCATCTTTTCTACCATCACAGGTACTGGTGAACAGGTGACAGCACTGGAGACATCACACAGCACTCCTTGTTCAGCAAACTGACACACCTCACACAGCTTGCTTTCTGCTCCTTTTGGAGCTCCACATTAAAAATAAGCCTAGTATTTATCTCCAGGCTTTTTGTGGAGTTGGTGTCAGTTTCCTGCAGCAGTCTGTGTCCTAGCTTGAATCTGACTGTCCCTGAAAGATACAAAGTTGTGGAGCACAAGAAATGCTAGTCCTCAGAAGTTAGCCTTTGGAGTGCAATCACCTGCACAGTAAATATATGCTTCCTGATATTTAGATAGTTATTATAGTTATTAATTATTATAGTTAGTGCCATTTGGCAATTGTCCTGGCACTGGGCACCACTGAAAAAAGCCAGTTTCTGTCCTCTTTGCATCCTCCCTCTAGAAGAAGTATCAGCTCTCTTGACCTGCTGGCAATAATTTGCCTAATGTAGCCAAAAGTACTGATCAGATTTTGCACCACTGACCACTATCCAGCAGTCTTGCCTCACTGTCTACTCATCCAGCTCATACTTTAACAGTTTCTCTATGAGGATCTTATGGGAGGCAGTCAAAGGCCTTACTGAAGTCCAAGAAGACAATGTTCACTCCTCTACTCCCAAACATCAGGCTGGTGCTTTCACTGTAGAAGCTGCTTATGATGGTCAAGAATGACTTTTCCTTGCTGAATCCATGCTGACTACTCCTGACAATTTTTCTTCTCCTTCATGTGTCCAGAAATTGTTTTATGGCATACTTGTTCCACCACCTTACCAGGGATTAAAGTGAATAGTTTTCTGTGTTCTCCTTTCTTTTCTGAAAATAACACTGACATTTGCTTTCCTCTAGTCTTTGGACAATTTTTCCAGTTGTCCTAATCAAGTAAGATTATAGTGAGTAGTTTCACAATCACATCTGTCAACTCCCTCAGCACTTGTCTTGCATCCCACAGCAGCTCCCACAGTGCTCAGGACATTGCAACTCCCTTCACTGTACATGTATGGCAGTTAACAAGACATGGTGTCAGCCACATAGAGCTATACAAATTATGTATTCTTCAGTCTCTTTTTTGATTGCAGCAGCCACACTTACCCTCTCACATTTAGTCATAGCTTCCAACAAAAATCCTACCTTATTTCTGAAACACAAGGAGACACTGAAGATGGCAGAATCAGCAATGATTTTTCCATTAGGGAAGATAACATAAACAATAAGTGTTGGAGCTGGAGCATAGACTGAGCTGAAGGTAACAGGGATGGAGAAGAAGCCTTTCAGCACTAGATGGAGGAGAGAGGGAACAAGAGAAATTAGTAAATTCGATAATGGAAAGGGACTCTGATTAGCTTTTGTCCTTCTGTACATGTCTGTTTAATTCCTTTCCTCAGCTACTTCAGGACCACAGCAATTTCTGAAGACCATTGAAACCATCTCTAGACTTAGTATTCAAGATCTGCAAAAGATGGTTCTGTTTATTGCCTTGTACTGGTTCTGTTTATTGCCTTTAGGAGATGAATGAATTATTTGGAGTTCAAGATTAGCTATACAAAGAATGAGAGTCTCAGGTATCTTTCAAAGCCTTCCATCTTATCATCAAAGAGGTCGTATTTGCCTCAAAGCACATATAATTTAGATTATAATTATGTCAAAGATAAAACACAACAGTCAATCAACAGTCTGCAACCATCAAAATGATAAGATGTGGCATCCTATCTACTCAAAGGTTATTTGTAGTCACAATTGCAAATCAAAGCAATAGAGTTTTGATAGAGGGAAAAGCTATTTTTCATGTCCTTTGGAAGGGCAGCTAAGGGAGACTTATTTGAAAATGAAAGCAACGGCATATGAGCCTGCAGGTCAAGTAATGTTGAGGACTGTTTTCTTCGCACCAAACAAAAGGGAAATGTGAAAGCTAGAAATACAAGCTGTGTGGAAATGATAGAAGAAGGATGATCAAGTTGCAAATTGCTCTAATTTGCAGACGCTTATACCACATATCTAGATAGAAAGGGATGCCACAGAACATTGAATGCTTTCTAGACATATAACAGGGGAGTGCACTTACTTCTTGGCAGCCCAACCCAAACAGTCTTCTGACCTGCCTGAACTATTCCACTTTTCCCCGTGACCTATGAAAGAATAAAAAAAGGGAAGGGAATGCCAATCATGTTGTCTTTGAGACCACTATGCAGACCCATGTATTTCTGAGACTGGAAGTTAAACGGGGTATGTGAGGGGAATAGGAGCTTTTCTCACACTTAGGTAACATGAAAAGTTCAGGGGACTTGCTGGAGGATAGAAAAGGTCAATACCTGTCCTGCATCTGTGCAGAGCCCAAAAGAAAGGTGCTGCCTTTCATTCTGCTCTGCAGTCCCAGAATTAAAACCAGGATCCAGCCCCATGATGGCTAGTTGAGCTACCTGTCAAACTGCCAAGCCAAAGCTATCCAGTATCAGGCTTGAACCTGTGGAGGATTCTGATATGGTGTCTTGAGACATCAGTACTAGCACTTCTTCAAGAACTTACAAGGTAGGAGAAAATTACACGCTTGGGCCCATGTTCCAGGTCTTCCTTGTAAATTCTGAAGTCCACCTGGATAGCCTGCTTTTTACCACAAGGCATCATTTCTGGCACACGGACAATACTGAGAAAACTCCTGCTGGTGCTGTAGAATGGATGTATGAAATGAGAGGCTCTCTGGTAATTCAAATCAACTGTCCCAGGCTCCCCACCCAAATCCTGATGCAGGACACTCGCCTGGTAAGAGAGAAAAAGGAAAAAAAAAGGAAAAAAAAACAACCACAAAACACAAACAGCAGATTATTTCTTTAGTTAAGCAGGTCAGTTGCAAATCAATCCAGCTGTTGCATGTTAGAAAGCTCAGGCCACTTCTTGACAACACTGTCACACACATTTCTGTGTGAAGAGTTCATGAGGAAAGCTGTTGGGATTCAAAGAATAAGCATCAAGACCCACAACATACTGAGGTGTTTTGAGTTGGAGTTTTAGTCCCTCAGAACGGAACTTTCTTTGAGACAGTACACACTGAGAAGCATGCTTACCCCTTACTTTCATAGTCAATGACACAGAATTTTCTTCACTTACCTCCAGGGAGGCTGGGGTGCTGTTCCAAGTAGTTGTGTTTAGGCTAAATGAAACTCTTCCAGTGTCTTCAGTGATGTACTTTTGCTGAAACTGCTGCTCACCAAAACTTACTACAAGGAGGACATTTTTGTGCTTCAGCGTCTCGCCTTTGTAGTCAATGACTTTGATCTGAGAATACCATGGTGATTGATACAAGCATAGAAGACTGTTCAGTGGACATAATCTCCTCCAAGCCAGTAGCAGAATTTCTGCACTATTTTAGCTGGAAGGTCACCCCTCCAATCCCTAACAATTCTGCTACCAGTAACCTCCCATTAGCACATTTAGGCACAGACAAAATCCCAATACCCCTTTATTGCAAAGGCCTCCTGGCTACTGAAATTCCCAGTGCTTGGGTTTACATCCCCCAGTGCATGCCCAGAGCTGCTACTACTCAAGGTTTATTTGGCAAATTAAGGTCTTGGTTGTTTTTCTCACTTCTGAATATTCCAGCCCTTGCTAGAGATGGGGTCGGAAAAGCAGACTCTGTGAAGGCATTTCTCATGCTGTCTTCTCCAAAAGACCATAAAAAGACCATAACTGGGAATTACCTTCCCTCTGTACATCTCTCCAGTGTGATAGTAAGAATTCACATCATCAAACAAGGCCATCCCGCCAATCTTGGAGATGAGTAACTTGTGGGAAGCATTGACCTGTATCTCTGAATGACATCAGTAAGAAAGAAACATAAGGGAGGAAATCAGGGAAACCATGAGCCTGTCAGCAAGTTGTCTGTAGAATAATATAATCAGTAATACCAATGTACGTGCGCATATATATTTCATACCAAGGAGATGACTTGTCCAAGGCTCTGGGTATCTGGTCTCCTTCACATTATCTTCTATCCCTTAGAAAGGCCCCTAAGCTTTGCTACATGAGATTAGACCACAGACATTCTGAGTGTGTCATGCCTTCAGGAATTTTTGGCTCTAACAATATCCATGAGGTTAGACGGCAGGCCTCAATGGGCTCAAAAACCTCAGAGCTCTTGCTAGTCTGAAAGTCTGTGGCATTCTTGCTACGATTAGTGTATCTTCCCATGCCTCTTCCCAGAGATATTTCCATAATTACCTGTGCCATCCTCCAGCAGTGAGGCCTCTGCAACTATGCTGTCCCGATAGTACCTCAAGTCTTGGCTGAAGGATAAGGTCACGTTTGTGAAGAAGCAACCCATCTTGTCTGTCTGAAATCCCAGAGAGAGGAAGAGTGGTCTGATCAAGGCATTTATGTCAGATATTATCCAAATGGGGCAGGAATAGCAATGCAAGGCTCAAATAAGAAAATAAGCACCAGATCAAAGACATCTAGGTCCATGGAAGGTATGAAACGTAACAGAGAATTTAAGTCCTGAGGCAGGAAACGGAAAATGAGAAAGGGAAAGGATGATGACTAAGGCTAAAGGAATATACAAATGTGTCACTCTAATGGTCTTGAGATCTTGCTATTTTGAGGCTTATCTGTCTACGGCTGCAGATTTTTTGTTTGTTTGTTTGTTTGTTTGTTTGTTTTTCTTCAAATCACCTAGCAAGAGAGAAGGTCCAAGCAGGCTGCACAAATTCTGTGACATTCATGGCTTTCAGCACGGCAAAGTCTCAGCTCCTGCAGTGTTATGAAGATTTGCAAGATAGGGGCTTCCCACCAGCTCTTGTGTCTGACAAAGGAATCAGCATCACCAGAATGTTGCCCATGTAAGAGGAAGACTTCTTCAGAGAAGTGCCCTCAATTCTATGGATTTAGTCTTCTAGATGCTATTATATATAACTTGAGAAGACCCATTCATAGGAGAATAAGGCTGGGTACAGATAGCAGTCAAGAATGTGGAGCAGGCACTTGATACACACAGTGTCATAGCAGATACAGCTACTAAGAGGCAGCACCAGCAGTCTTGTGATCAAGTAGCCAAAACCAAGTTGTGACACCACTGCTTTTTCAGCTAGCTCCAGCAGCCTTGTGTTAGCCTGGGGCTCACCACAACTTTCACTGTTTTCAGCTCCTGCTATGCAACTCACCCTGCTCTTGAATTCCTGACAGAGATCAGGTTTCGAAGCACTGGGCAAGAACTGGGATATTTTCTGACAAAGGCTCACATAAACCATCCCCTGGACAGCTTTCCCATAGCTGTATCTGTTTAAGAAAGCAGGGAAAAGAAGAGATATTCAAACAAAGTGTGAAAACACTAGTGCTTGCTTTGTGTGCCTAGGTATACTTATTCATGGCTATTCACAATATATCACAAATATGGCAGATGTACAGGCCCAAGAGACCTGATGCATTTAATAAGATCAAACTAGAACACTGCAATGATATAAGATCAAAAGCCTTGTGATAAAATTAGTATCAGACTATTCTGGGAAATCAAATTACAAGAAAGATAATTTTAGGAATGTTTTGTTTTGCATTAAGGTTCAGAGACATACCGTGGAATATTCTGACCTGCTGTAACTTAAGTGCAGTAAATTTCCTCTGAGTCTCATGATACCTGCACGGAAATGTACTTGCCTCTGGTCAGAATTTAGCATAGGGCCCACTTCTCCAAGTAGAACCCTTACCTGCCACATACCCGAAGTGGAAAAGTTTTATCTAGTGCATAAATCACCACTGGTGTCGCAAAGATCACTTCAAATTTTGGCAGCGCTGTAAGGAAAAAGAAAAAAACAGACAACTGTAGGAAACACTGGCCAAGGACAGCCTTTCCAGGGAATCAACATGAAGACAGACTGTGCTGGAATAAGAGACAGGAAACTGAGAAGAAAGGAAGTTAAAACATGAAAGGGAATATTTCCATTATTTCTTTAACAAATTCGAATCTAGTCCATGGCTCCTTTCCAAATTAAAATTCAAACATGTTAGGGGATTTTCAAGTTGGATGTTATGAAAAACTTCTCCAAAATATTGTTTGAGCATTGGAACAGACTGTTCAGGGAGGTGGTGGAGTCACCGTTCCTGAAGGTGTTCAAGAAAAGCGTGGGTGTGACACTGAAGGGCATTGGTTAGTGGGAAATCTTGGTGGCAGGTGAATAGCTGGACTGGATGATCTTAAAGGTCTTTTCCAACCTTAATGATTCCATAATTCTACAGTAATTCTATAACTCTATGTCCATATCCCTCAAGTTCAGACAGCTATTTGCAGTAACTTCCCAGCAGAGTTAATTAGGGAATGATAAAATAAGTGGCACTGGGCTTCATATTCTTTTGAAAAGCCCATTCCAGTGACCTTATTTTGTCTGATACAGCCATCTTCAGGAATCAGTTGTGTCAAAAGTCTAGGGCCTTGCAGAGTTGCTCCTATACAATAACCAAAGGTCTCAAATGCAATCTCTCTCCTGAGCATCAGCTCAGACTCTTTTCTATGATGTTTTTACTTTCTTCATTTGCTCGCAGGATGGTTATAATGAAATAAAAACCCAGATTCATGGAATAGAGAGTGAAGTCATCTCTCACTTCATACATATCCCTCATGCACTCATACCATAGTCCTCAACGGTGAAGCTGCCATATGTTTTCCTGTTGGTTACATTGATAACATATGTCCCCAGCAGAGGCTCATCACTTAGTTGGAAAGACAGATCCACAATGCCTTCCTGCGGCACCACATTCAGCCACTGCTCTATCCGGTTGTTCTTGGGGTCCTACACCCACAAGAGAGAAAGAAGCAATTGTTCTAGCATCTCAGTGATCCACAGTCTCTAGAAAACCATCTTCAAGATTTCAGTGCTAGTTAGAAAAATAGCTACGGGACAAGGTTTGGCACAGTACAGTCAAGAAATTTTGAAGGTAATATGCTACATTCTGCTGTCAGCAGCTGAATCCCCTTCTACACTTCTCTAAATGCTGATCTCAAGGAAATATCCTTTACAGTTCTAACCTGTTAACATAAAGGTCTAAATTGATCTGTCTATAGTTTTGTGCTTCAGGAGCAACTCAGATTTCCATTCCAGTAACTAAGAGCATAACATCAAGTGCAAAAACAGGCACAGAGGTTGTGTGTAGTATATTAGATTAAGTAATCTTGATGTTCTACCATTCTACTTACAGATCCATAAAATCTACCATGAACTGTAAATGAATAGCCCAGTGAAATGGCTGCCATCAACAGTAATGTAACATCAGATTTCAGCATCACTCACCTGGAGAAACAGGGAAATCTGGGAGGGAAAGAAAAGTTAAAACATTAAAAGAGAGAAATAAGTGCCAGCAACACATACAAGGTACTTCAGATGCAGAGACTTCTGTGAAGGCTGTGAAAATAGCAACTTGGATATTTAGAACACTGACAAACAGTATAAAGAACACAGATGTCACCAAAAAGGAGAAATACAGTGTGGATTCATTACAGTAATGTCTGGAAAGAGAGAAAGGGAAAATCAATCCGAAGGTCACCTAGCACATGCTAATTACATCCTGACAGAGTTCTCTATCAGGAAAACCTCTAGATTGCTAAAACCAATATAGATTTGGCTCATCTGCAGTATCTCAGTGGAGTCACAGAGGTACATGATCTTGTAGCTTGGGAGAAACCTCTGGATGTCATCTAGTCCAATGCCCTGGGTAAAGTTTATCTTATTAGAACAGGTTGCTCTCAGACTTCTCTTGTTAAGTGTTGAACATCTCCAAGGAAAAAAAATGCCTTCTCTGAGTATCTGTTTCGATATCTGATATTCTTTGAAATGAAAGAGTTTTTTCTTAATGTCTAATCAGACGTTCCAACTTCCAAACTACTCACTCCTCATATGACAACATCACCATGTAAATCAGTATGCGCCATGCTTGTGCTTGAAGGACTATTTTACTAACAGGAGCAAGAACATCTTTCCCATCTTCCTGAATTACGTCTCCAGCTCCCTGAGTTACTATTCTCCTATAGACATTCATCAGAATGAATGCAGGGGACAAGGAGCAGTTAGAACTTTAGCAGATATGCAGAGGAGAAAGGAAGTAGGATTAATGCATAGAACACGGAGCCTCTTCCACAGATTGCAGGGCTGACTTACCGAATCATTAAGCACAATGAAGTCCTCATCCAGAGTCACAATACGAAATTTCACTGAAAGCAAGGAAATCAGGGAATATATTTGTCACTTCTCAGTCCTTCCCTGCAGACCCCTATTCTTTCTGTCTCCTCAGGTCCTGTCTCCACTGTACACATCTGATAAAATTCACATGGGCATTCTCCCAAGAAAGATAACATGGGTAATGACCTACTGTCTCCTACAGCTACACAGTCAGCACAGGATGGACATCACAAGCACTGAAAATATCATTCCAATAAGAAATGTCTTCTCAAAAACTTCTGCTAAGGCCTTCCGTGATTTTCAAGCAATTGCAGTCTTTTCATATGATTTTACTAGCAAAAAGTCTAGGATCTATTCTTGCTCTCATATGCAGCTCTCACCTGTCTGCCCTGGTTTATAGATGGGCTTGTCCATTTGAATGAAGGTGCCACTGCTCGCCTTGCGGATCAGGACCTTTTTCTTCTCCTCAATATTGACCCCTTGACCAGTAATAATCAGTCTGACAGTGGCAATCTCCTCTGGGCCATCAGCTGGAGGTGCAACCTTTACAAAGAGAGAAAAGAATGCAGCCACCAAGTAATATTACTTCTAGGGGCCCATAGCAGGAATTGACAGTAAAGTGGAAATGAAAAAAGCTAACCTGTCACTCTCCACCCATGCCAGGTCATCCCTTTCAATACCTGAATTCAGATGGTATTATAATCTCACTGAATTCTACACTCAACCAGGAGGCTTTGCATCTCATGAAATCCATAATTTTTCCCACTGCCTAAGTAACTTCATCTCTGGAGATAGGAAAGGGAGTGTCAGGAAAATAAGAAAATGCCAGAAATATGGGAGATAGCAGCATGGAATCAAAGGACAGACACTGAGCTATTTGGCATAGCTTCAAATGCTAGACTTTCAAGACTCTGTAACACGTATAAGTAAGAAAGCCAGATCAGAATGCCAGAGCTAACCACGGGCTCTTCCTGGCTCATGCAACAAAATACCACAGCAGCCACAGAACAGAATACAGTATATAATAGAAGAAATATTACTTAGGTGTGATTGTCCTATTATAGATCTTAACCAAATTCTCCCCAGCAATGAATGAGCTGTAAGATGCTGTTTAGAAATAACAAGCATATCTACTTCCATCCAACTGCTGGTCAGTAGCTCAAGAGCTGAGCTGCTTCCTGACTGCAGTTCCTACAGAAACTGTAGATTATGTTGTGCAAACCTTCATTTCCTCAAGCTTTATCCCTGGAGCTGCATGAGTATTTCAGAGTATCATGGATTGGAAGAGACCTTAATGATCATCTAGTTCCAATTCCCCTCCCATGAAAGGGTTGTGACCCACTAGATCAGATTATCAAGGGATTTATCAAGCCTGGAAGATGAGCTAAAGCTGCTCTGGTCTGGAATAGAGGAGAAGGAAACAAGTAGTGTGGTAGTTTTTTAACAAATGTGACTTCAAATGAAAAGTTAGATTCAGAAGGGCAATTCAGTGCTGACCAAGTGCTGTCCACTCCACATCTGTAAGAATAATCTATTCTCATTCCTAGCAGACTCGCTCCAAGGCAAAGTAGAGCCTCTCCTTAACAACACTGGCTTTTACAATTCCTGGTTTTACAGTTCCTGAAGAGATGGCATTTGCCTAGGGTAGCTCACCCAGAACTTAGTGCACATGAAAGTTTTCTCCTTTTGGATGTTTTTTTGCACTATAAGATCACGTCCTGCAAAGCGCTCCAGGATCAGCTTTACTTGAATCTTTGCTTCATAACAGGTGATATGGAGGCAGGCAACTTGAACGGATGGGTAACGGAGATCTGCAGGGATAACCACCAGGTAATGTCTGGGACAGAGGAAAGAAGACATCAGAGATTACATCAGATTGAAGGCTCAGAGAGAAAACATACCTGGAAAACATACCTTTAACATACCTCTTCCTAGTAGACCCCCCCAAAAAAGATTATTCGTATTTTAACTCACAGCCATGAGAGACAACATGAATGACTCTGTTGCCTTTTGGAGTGATTTGAAAGAGCAGGAAGAATAGCTGATGGTATGGAATTCAACAAGTCTACCTAGAGTGCTAGAGACTGAAGGAAACTGAAACAAAAATTCAGCATCACTCACAGTTGGTGAAAAGAAGTTGCAGTGTGGAACAGAAGGCTCAGGAAGATGGATGTCAGCATCTTGAGAGCTCTGCCTGTCCAGACTCCAGACAATCTTTCTCTGAAATCACCAAGTTTCTGTTCAGGGGCTAACTTCTTTCTAGGACAGCCTGAATGGAGATATGGATTTGGGGAGGAGCTAGCTTCTCCCCACCTCTTTCTCTCTCCAGAGATTATATACATTCAGCAGTAGAATGGGCGTACTCTACCAAGTGTCCCTTAGCCAATAACAGATGCTTTGGCTATCTTCCACCAGTTTGGAACATTCCCCCCCAACCCTGCAAGGCCACCTTGTAGATATTTGACCAAATGCACATTTCATATAAATAAATAAATAAATAAATAAATGAGCCACAGAACTTCACTGATCAGTGACCCAGGACAGGTCCTGATCACCTGTGACTTACGTCCCTTTGTTTCAGCTGGAAATAGATTGCTGCTGTGCAGCCAACAGCAAGAGCTCACCCCTGCACACCCTAGGCAATGTTGTTATTTAGGATAGGGGCTCTGTTTATGAGCATGTGTATCTCCACAGGCTGTTTAGCTTGAGAACATGGAGCAACTCCTTGCATGTACATGAAGAACAACTGTATCAACATCACCATCAGCCCTCAACCACTAATTAGCTTAGTGACTTTGCCTTTCCTCTCTCTGCAAATAAGTAAAATGAAAACATTCACTGAAAAAGAGATCTCCACTAGCTTTTCTGCAACATTCATTTGCAGTAGTACCAACCACAAAGAAGGTGTCTCAGGAAATAGTGCAAGTTCTTCAGTGTTCATAATTAGCACTGGAGGGCTAAAGTGTCTCTATGCCATCTAGTTTTGCTCTGTTTCTGAATACATGAATCACTTTATAACTCATGGATTAAACAAGGGGGCTGTTTTCTCGCACTGATGACAACCTCTACAGAAGTGTAGACAATTGTGCTGTGTAACCATCCTGGCTTCCAGGAGAGCACTGTCACAATGTAAAGTGTCTGTTGTGGGTCATACACTGATTGCATTAACTCATGAACTACATTTCTGGCTTGTTTGAGACAACATAAAGTAGTAGTATTAAGTAGTATAGGAACAGGAACAGTCCTTATAGTCAGACAGCTGTGGTTCTGTGCCTGGAAATACTTCCCAGCAGTGTCAAATAATGCAGCATAATCTTTACTTATGTAGGTTCTAACATGACATTACATAAGCAGGCAGTTAGGATCTTTTTGTCTGGCACAATCGGGCTTTCCAGATTTCCTGCTTATCTGGGATACCTGTTCCCAAGTCTCTTTTATACTCTTTTTCCAGCTGAGGTTTGGAGAACTGATCTCCTTTTAACTGATCTCCATTTTATTCTGTCTCCACCTGAGAGCAACTATTGCATCAAGTGGACTATCTGTTATGCACAGAAGCAGTTGGTGCTAGCACTATCTTAGTCTCAGGTGCATTTCATGGCTCACCTGGACTCTTGCCAGTTAGCTTAATCAGTTCTCTCAACAGATCTCAGAAATCAGCTTTCAGACAGCCTAAATGAGTGCTAGGTTCCTAGGCAAGAAAGGCTATCATCTTTTCTGTTTCAACGAACTCATTATCTCCATCCTTGTGAAGGAAGGTTATTCCACTGAGAACAGCAGATAAACTTTTAAAATCACCCTTTGGCAAAAATCTGGCATTTTAATAAACACCAGTCGTGTCTGCCACAAAACAGCAAATCATAGCCAGAGAGGGTCACATGTTGGCAGACTTCTGACAGGAGCTGTCCAAAAGCCAGCACTGGGGAGAGCTTTCTGACCCTGTCCCATCGTGTTCCTCCTACAGTGTTTGCTCAGGTGCATTCTCTGTTCCTTTCTTGACTTAGGCAAATCTGGCTCTTGGTCACAGCAACATACATTTGAAGGACATGTATTGAAGGAAGTGACTGACATCTGCACAGACATGACCAAAGTCTCTGAAAAGCAGAGAGTAGCAAGATTGTACACAGTTTCTAGTTCTGGAAAGGATCTATCCTTCACGAAAATACACTATATTCATCTAGAGCAAGGGACATACATAGTAGCAACGCTAACCCTGACACCTGCCCTCCATAGATTACCAGAATAAAAAATAGAAGGGAAAAGCAAAAAGTTAGTAAAGGCCAAGCATATGATCAAGGAAGAAAACTCATGGTTCACAATAAGAACCAGGTGAGATGGTACCTTGTAAATCACTCCAGTGTATTAATCTAATTAATTTAACATTATAGTAATATTAATAATTAATATGATTAATTTAAGAAATTACAGAGGCAATAATATTAATGGTCTCTATGAGAAGAGCACTGGAAAAGCACAGATGTCTTGCATACTACTTTGGCAGGAGACTGAGCAGAGAATAGAAACTTATCATTGACCCATTCCTGGGAGGATTCAAGGCTAGGTATTATGGGACTTGGAGCCAGACCCTGCCCATGGCAAGGGGATTTGGAACTAGATAGCCTTTAAGGTCCCTTCCAACTCAAATCATTCTATGAATTTGATTCTATCATTTTCTTTAAAGAACTACATCTGTTACAGAGTCAGTACTACAGAATCAGCTATCAAAGAAACTGAATCACTCTTCAGTTTCCTCTGTACTCATCATCATCTTCAAACAGGCTTGGGGCCTCTTGCATTGTTGCATCCGTTCATTTGCAACCACAAACACAATATCCAGATCACTGACATTCCAAGCTCACTTCTTACACACACACATCATCTATACCTACAGTGTAGCATTTTCTTTGAAGACAAAAGAATTTGATAGCATTGTATTCCAACAGTAAAATATATACTTTTGCATTAAGAATTTTTCACAATCCTTGCAGGGTTTGTAAAACCTGTGAGGCCAGAGGCCATGTTTATGCAACCTCACTAGGGAGTCCTCAGAAGAATTTGTGTCTAATACCAAGGTGAAGCACTTTCTGCTGCTTTGACAGTAGAATTTGTCCACTACACTACAGCCAGGCATGGAACTGACAGCACACCTGGACAAACACATCAAAAGGAGCAGAAACTGGCAGGGTCAGAAAGCCTGAAGGTAACATACAGTAAATTGCTCCATGTTTTTCTCACTGCTTGGCTTCTACATTGAGACCATCCAAAGAACTGCAATTTGAAGACAAATGCAGAAGCCTTTTTTCATTACTTAAAAAGAGCTCAAAACAAAATGGAGAGCAACCTTTTACATGGGCACTACTGTGGGAGACATCCCAAAATCATCACTGTCTGAAATTTACAATGTTGACTTTCAATTCTCAAACAGTATCAGAGACACTGACTTGAACTTGCTTCTCTCCTGAGCCCCTGAAAGGAAAGCAGATCCTAGCATAGAAGAAGAGGGATGGCCATTAAAATAATGATAATAATAATAATAATAATAATAAAAAACAGGGAAAGAAAAAAAAAAAAAAAAAAAAAAAACCACCAGAGGAGAAATACCAGTATTTAGATTAACTGAATAACTGTAGAACTTACATCTGTGTTTTTTTAAGATTTACAATGCCAAAGAGAAGACAGATGAACTACACAGACTTTGAAGAAACAGAGGCATTGTGGTGGTTTCACATTGGCAGGTAGCTAAGCTCCACCACAGCACATTCTCACTCTCATTCTCACTTCCTCTCCTCAGAAAGATGGGGAAAAATACAATGGAAAAAAAGGTCATGTGTTGAGGTAAGAAGAGGAAGATCATTCACCTGTTACCATCATAGACAAAATAGACTCAAGCATAAGTGAGATTAATGTAATGCCTGCTGCTAAAAATAGACTAGAGCAGTGAGAACTAAAAGCAAGCTAATAATATTATCTCCCCCCTCCCATCCATCCCCTTCTACATCTTCCTCCTGAGCAGCACAGAGGAATGGGAAATGAAGGTGCAGTCAGCTCTGGCCAGCAAGAGCTGGCTCTAATCTGATGAGGGGAAGCTGATGGGCTTTGCTCACAGGGGCCACCCCTGCAGCTCCCCCTCTACCCAAACCATTCCACATAAGGACAATATAGGCACAAACAATAAAAATAAAAGGCCTTCCTCAGAGCTGCACAGTGACTCAGAACTGGGTCCAAGCAGACAACTCCAATGCTCAAGGCCAAACAGCCATTTTCTCCAGAAGTATTTATCTCTCACAGACTGGAGTACTGGGTCCCAAAAAAGAGTCCCCAAATCACACAGAGCAAATTAAATTGGACTTACTCACTCTGGAATAGGTCTTACATTCAGGGCTTATGGAGCAGGCTGAAGGGGATGTGACTTGCTTTATGAATGGATTTCCTGGGGAAAGGAAAACATGTGGCTGATCCTGAAATTGAATAGAGGGATGATCTCATGGTCAGATTCACAAAGACGCTTAAAACAAATGCACAGATGGAAAAGAAGGGGTCATGGCAGTCCAACTTATTTGTCAGATGTAGACATCAGGAGAATTACAAATGTTAAGAGAAGTTTTGGTCAACTTTTTCCAAGCTCAAGATTGGTGCATCCTAAGAGTAAAAAATCAAGCAAAAATGGCAGGAGATCTGCATGCATGAACAAGGAGCTCATGGATAAACTCAAAGAGAAGAAAGTTTACAAAATGTGGAAAAAAGGCCTGGTCGCTTGGGAGGAATATAGCAATACTATCAGAGCCTGCAGGGACATAACGAGGAAAGCTAAGGCACCTTTGGAATTAAACCTGGTGTATAAATTATACCTGGTTTAATTTAAC